GTTGCGGTGAGCCGAGATCGCGCCATTGCACTCCAGCCTGGGTAACAAGAGCGAAAACTCCGTCTCAAAAAAAAAAATAAATAAATAAAAAAAGAAAAATATTTACTCTTATCAAATAGTTAACATGTATTAAATATTGATATATTGTTTCCCATTTATTGGATCATTTCATGAATGAAAGTTACAGACAATTGAAATGATTATTACTATGTTGATAGGCTTTAACATCGAAAGAGGTCAACATCAAGGAATCTTTTTCTTGCTAGTTACTCTCATGTACTTATTGGTTCAATTTATCTCTTGAATTTTTCTGACTTTTCATATTTTATCTACTTTAGTCTTTTACAGTTACGCTTCCCATCCGCCCAGCTCCCACAAATTAATAGTTTATTGTGGAAGGATTTGGATATCTTCTGGCTAAGAGGAAGTCATCCCAGGTTCATGTCTCTAAATTGGTTCATCTGTGTGAACATTTATTTCCTTTGTTATCACAGAAGGCGTAAAGACAGACATGAAGCAAGTGGGTTTTCAAGGAGACCAGATCCAGATTCTGATGAAGATGAAGATTATGAACGAGAGAGGAGGAAAAGAAGTAAGGCATGAACACAAACATGTTTTCAACATATTTAAATAGTGGGAGTGCAGTTCCACTATTTGCTTCTTCTTTTCAGTTTGATAAATAGCTCATTTGACATTGATATGGGTAATTTTCTTTCTGGAATCTCAGCAATCCACATTTGCATAACAGCTTTGATTTATATTGGGTTTTCCTTTGAGCTTCACAACCACTTTCTAACATTTATTGATTGGATACTTTGGGACTAGCTTAAAATCTATTTCTGCACTGTCTAGTTGCAGCAAGTCCAGTTGGCCTGTGCTGAATCCACTCTTGTTTCTCTTAGGGGGAAGCATAGTTAACATTGAGTGTGTCTGTGTCGGGCATCATGACATATTTCATATACTCTATCTTAACTAATCCCCAGATGTTTGGTTTTCATTAACTTGTCTTGAAATTCAGTATATAGGTTGAATATTTGTAGGTCTTCTTTTTCCAGCTTATATTATTGAGTGCCCTTTTTGATAAGGAGGCATGCTTTCCATGTTAAGGATACTTGTTTTTTTCTTAAACACCAGCAGGAATTATGACTTTGAATGAGAAGACGTTCTGTTTGACCTTGGAGCTAATGTTAGGGAAGTAGTGGCATGCCCATTATATGTATAGCTGTTGACAGATTGATGTTCTTATTTTAATGTGATTAGTAGCAGATTTCCAGTAATCACCCTGAATTTTTTTTACTGTGAATTTATTAGAGCTAATCCGCTTTTCAGAATCAATAATCACTCTAGGTCCTAGTGACAAAGTTAGTAAAATGATCATAGGAAATATTTCAAAAGAAATGTAAGAAGGTTTTACTCAGGTTCATATTTCTCCCTGAGAATTTTGTATTGTCCAGTCCTGTTAATCAAAATGCATGGACACTGGCTTTAGAATAATTTCTAGAATAATTCTTTAGAATTATTATTATTATTTTTTTTTGAGATGGAATCGCTCTGTCACCCAGGCCGGAGTGCAGTGGCGCAATCTTGGTTTACTGCACCTCCAACGTTTTGGGTTCTAGCAGTTCTCCTGCCTCAGCCACCCAAGTTTCTGGAATTACAGGTGTGTGCCACCATGCCTCGCTGTATTTTGCATTTTTAGTAGAAACGGGGTTTAGTAGAGCCATGTTGGCCAGGCTGGTCTTGAACTCCTGACCTCAAGTGATCCATTCACCTGAGCCTCCCAAAGTTCTAGGATTTCAGATGTGAGCCACTGCACCCAACTGCCTTTTTTTTTTTTTTTGAGACACTCGTTCTGTTGACCAGGCTGGAGTGCAGTGGCGTCATCTCGGCTCACTGCAACTTCCATTTCCCGGTTCAGATGATTCTCCTGCCTCAGCCTCCCGATTAGCTGGGATTACAGGTATGCACCGCCACACCCAGCTGATTTTTGTATTTTTAGTAGAGATGGGGTTTTGCCATGTTGACCAGGCTAGTCTTAAACTCCTGGCCCCAAGTGATTTGCCTGCCTCAGCCTCCCAAAGTGCTGGGATTACAGGAGTGAGCCATCTTGTCCAGCCAGAATAGTTTCTTTGTTAAACATTTTGTGCTGATGCATGACTTCGTAATCAATTTTTTTAAACTGTACATTTTATGTTTTTTATTATTTCATTGTTAAGCCATAATATGTATCATGTAATATATATATGTAATATGTATATGTAATATATGTTAGGACTTAGACCTAATGCAAAATTCTTTATGGTCTCCACTGACGTCTCCTTCCAGTTGTCAGATAGCAGATACAGAAGATCTCTCTTATCTCTTTTGGTTTGTTTGTGTACACCATTCTTTGTCCAGGAAATACAGCAGGAATAGTGACAACAGCAGTTTCTTCAGAAGCCAGAAGGACCCACACTTTTAAATGCGTGTTTAATTCCAGTGGTTTGCACCCTAGTAAAGGAGCATGCTGTGTGGTGGTGGGGGAAGATATGGCAATGCAGGGAGCTGGGTTTCCTCCCTTTCTGTTGATGTACTCCCCACTGATCATTGTCTTATCTGTAAACTGGATGCAGTAATATCTACTTCAGAGGTCTGTGAAGCCGGAAAGAGGCCGTGTGTGTAAAGGGCCTGATAGGTATCACTTTCAGTAAATAGTTACATTACTTTCTTTTTAAGTAACTGCTGGTTCTCTTGGTTGTATTGTTTTGCCTTAAAATTCATTTGTGAACTACATTGTGGAGCTCTTGAGTTCCTTTTAGGAAGGAACAATTTTGCTGGGCGCGGTGGCTCAAGCCTGTAATCCCAGCACTTTGGGAGGCCGAGGCGGGTGGATCATGAGGTCAAGAGATCGAGACCATCCTGGTCAACATGGTGAAAACCTGTCTCTACTAAAAATTCAAAACATCAGCTGGGCATGGTGGTGCGTGCCTGTAATCTCAGCTACTCAGGAGGTTAAGGCAGGAGAATTGCCTGAACCCCGGAGGTGGAGGTTGCGGTGAGCCGAGATCGTGCCATTGCACTCCAGCCTGGGTAACAAGAGTGAAACTCCGTCTCAAAAAAAAAAAAAAAAGGAAGGAACAATTTTATGTAACTGAGGGAGTATTGCCACTTTTCTACGTTTTAAATCCTAATGTCAGAGGTTTGTTTATATGTAGTAGGAGGGATGAAGTAGCCTCCTTTTTTCCTTTTTTAGTTTTTTCTAAGGTGATATATGGTGTGTCATTGTCCTTGGGAGTCTGGCATCGGAAACCTCCTTTAATGCTTGGATTTGTGTTTTTGCAGGTATGGGCGGAGCTGCGATTGCCCCACCCACTTCTCTGGTAGAGAAAGACAAGGAGTGTAAGTAGATCTGTTTCTTCCTCTTTTATTCTGATACAGATCTTTAAGCGAATCATGTGGAATCTCAGCTTGGGCCCCCAGGTTTGCTGAGTGTAGAGGGAAATGGCCTGCCTGCTGCCTGCTACCTACCTGCCTGCCTACCTACCTACCTACCTACCTACCTACCTGCCTGCCTCTGTCAGCTGAGGCTGCACCTGGATCTCAGAATGCAGTGCCCTCCTGTAGAGACCTTTTTATGCCAGGCTCTGAGGCTTCAATTTCATTCATTGGGATCCATGTCTTTCTTATGCAATTCACTTTGTTTTCATTAATATTTCTTATTTGTTGTTAGATTCATTTGGAGTTAAAACAGTGTAGATAATTTACTGTTTTTTAACTCAGAGGTTTACAGGCTGTTATATTCATGATCCTCCACAAGGTGGCAGTGCCTTCCTTGATTAGATTTTTTTTCTTCCCCTAGTTTCCCTTTCAGTGCTGATGGGTATCCCTGTCATTGCATTGCCAAAACACCCTCATCCACTGTTCCTTCTTGCAGTGATCTGCTCTAAAATTCTGTGGTTGGCATTGGACTTTGAATATCATCTAGACCATTTTCCCATTCTCTGGATTGGACTATACCTAAACTATCCCAAGCAGATATTCTCATTTATAGTACTTTCGAAAACTTGTTGCATTATTTCTCTTTTAAAGAAGATACTTTCTAAAATATTATGAAATATCTGTTATGTGAACACAACGGACAAACAATAAACCCCAATTGAAACCAGTCTCTGGGAGTGGGGCCCAGGCATCTGGATGGTCTTAAAGCTTCTTGCTGACTTTCACATAACTAGAGTTGATGCCACCGCTGGCTGCTAACCTCGGAGACTTTTGTGGGCCATGAGGCTGATGGGATAGTGAGGTTAGGGTCTAGACAGGTGCACAAGGTGCTGCGGGAGTCAAAAGATGGCCAGATTGTATCTTCGTGGGCCATCCAGAAGCTCTTGCCACAAGAATATTCATTCAAGATTTTAAAGGGTAAATAACATTTCAATAAGATGTAAAAAGGATGGTTGAGGAGGTAGAAATAGCAAAAGCCAAGTTAGAGTCAGGAAAGCAGTGTCCTCCCTCTGCTTTTAAAAAAAAGTCATGTAAAGGCGATAAAGTTCATTTGTTGTTTTTCTCCTTGTGGTAAACTAAAAAAATAGGTTGAATTTGTTCAAGATAAGTAATTGGTAGAAGTGAGGTTTCAAAGTGTTTTCTATGGTATTTTGGTGAGCCTACTTTTGCTCCAATAGTACCCCGAGATTTTCCTTATGAAGAGGACTCAAGACCTCGATCACAGTCTTCCAAAGCTGCCATTCCTCCCCCCATGTATGAAGAACAAGACAGACCGAGATCTCCAACTGGGCCTAGCAACTCCTTCCTCGCTAACATGGGGTAACGATTGAATGTTCTAATCTAAGAACTTGAGAAACAGTGTGAAGCGTTGATAACTCTTTGAATAGATGCAACTTGTTTGAAGCCAAGGACATTTAGGCTGTGGGGAGACTCTTGGTGTGTGGGGTCACACCGTGCCTGCCTCAGTCACGTGGAGCATATTCCAGTGTAATGATGGGGCTTGTTCACAACAGCAAGCCTTCCAGTAGAAGTTTTGACTCATTTTGATGTTGATCATTATTTCTCTAGACAGACACAGAACCTGATAACTGTTTACATTTGCGTTCATAACATTTGCAAATAAATTAGCTTATATGAATCAGCTGATGTAGAGTGTCTCCAAAAGGGCTGGTGATACCTTTTTTCCTGATGAAGTGGGCCGTCTGCTTTAAGGTCATGGTTCTAAATCTTTGATCTAAAAAACTCAGGGTCATTCTAACTGCAAGTCGACATTTGTTTGCCCCCATATAGAAGTTTGACGTTCAGGTGAGGCTTGTAGATTTTTTTAAACTGTTCTGGACTTGGCAAACATTTTGGTTAAGAGGATGTTCTGTGCTATTGACTTTGATCCTGTGAAGCAGCTGTTCTATGAAGCGGCATCACATGAAGCCTTTGTTGTAGGCTGTGTTGTATCTGCCAGATGCTGCCTGTAGCAGAAATGTAGCCAGTGAGACAGCTGAGTGTAGTTTAAACTCACTAGTCTCTTTTTAAGTGCTCAGTGACCACATCCAAGTGGTGACCATGTTGGACAGTGCAGACATAGTACATGGCCATGGCTGCAGGAAGGTTTGTGTGCTGGAGGGTTGGACAGACACAAAGCTGGTTTTGTTTTTGCTTTTGTTTTCCCTGTTTATGATAAAAATTGACTTTTTACTGAATTTGCATTTAACCAGGAACGCATCTTTAACTTGTGCTTGGGAAAGATGCAAGATGGTACCATTCAGCAGTTTTCGGTCTTTTTAGCCCTAGAATAGCTTGTTCAAATGAAAATTTTAAGGGAATTAAATACAAGAAGTAATGTAGGTGCAGTTCCAGTTGAAGCGGGTTTTGTGGCTTAAGCCCTAAGCAGCAGTGGTCATGGGGTCGGGGTGCCCTTCAGACCCATGCCACACCTCAGAGCGCAGTGTGAGAGCCATCTGGTTGTTAGAGAAAGCAGTGGACTGAGAGTTGTGGAGTCTAATTTCAGCTCTACCATTAACAGTTGTACAGATAATTTTTTTTGTGGTTATTTGAGGTGGAGTCTTGCTCTGTCACCCTGGAGTGCAGTGGTGCGATCTCGGCTCACTGCAACCTCCGCCTCCGGTGTTCAAGCAATTCTTCTGCCTCAGCCTGCCAAGTAGCTGGGATTACAGGTGCACGCCATCATACCTGGTTAATTTTTGCATTTTTAGTAGAGCTGAGGTTTCACCATGTTGGTCAGGCTGGTCTTGAATTCCTCACCTCAGGTGATCTACCTGCCTTGGCCTCTCAAAATGCTGGGATTATAAGCGTGAGCCATTGTGCCTGGCCTCTACAAATAATTTCTAAGTGTGGCATCTTGCTTTACTTCTAGTCCACCCCTTAAGCTAGTCAGCTAATCTTAGCCTCCATTTCTTTATTTCTCATTTGTTAAGTAGGTGATCTCTAAGGGTTCTTTCATTTATATAGTCTGTCATTAGAAAGTCTCCTGTGCTATTCAGGAAAATTGAATTGTGTTCATTATATGAAACTTCATACTTATTTTTTGATGGCCACTTTTTAATAAACTGTGGTCATAAGCTATGTGGCAGTATAGATCCGGAGCACATAAACGATCTTGTGTTTCCTGGTGGGGCACTGAGTAGACTCCACCAGAGAAACTGGCAGTTTTCCTTCAAGATAACAGGATATTCTGGATTTTAGTCATAGCTTTTTCTATTTCTTTCATGCTGCACATCCCCACAGCTTCCGTCTAATAGCCCACTCCTAGATAATGCGTGACTTTGTGGAAGCCCCTGTGGAGTATGCAGTGTCTCCAGAAGGAGGTTGTTGTGATGTAAAAATGCAACCTATCTCCAGTTGACGATGTCAAGGCTAAGAGTCCTTTCCCTCCTCCTGCCAGGGGCACGGTGGCGCACAAGATCATGCAGAAGTATGGCTTCCGGGAGGGCCAGGGTCTGGGGAAGCATGAGCAGGGGCTGAGCACTGCCTTGTCAGTGGAGAAGACCAGCAAGCGTGGTGGCAAGATCATCGTGGGAGACGCCACAGAGAAAGGTATGTCCCCAAGAAAGTGTGTGGCTAGTGGGAAAGGGCTGGCCCCATCTATATCAGATATAGCCAGTCTTGATCCTGAGGTGCCAGCAGGGGGACAAGGATGAGTATGGCCAAGGAGAGAGGGCTGACCCCGCTGTCACTAGAACACAGGCCATGCTGAACACATGCACTGCCACTTCTGTTTTGTGAAACCAGGAATCCTGAGGCTCATTTTTGTTTTTTCAAAACAGAGGTAGAGAGATGAAGGCCTGTGGAAGAAAAGATGGTGAGAGACGGGCAGAGCATGAGTAGTCCTCAGGAAGAAATCACGGTTATGTGTTTAGAGCAGGAAGGACAGGGCCACGTAGTGTGTCAGTGAATATATCTGCTGTCTCGGAGGTCGTCTCTACTTTTCCCTATGCTTTTTTTTTTTTTTTTTTTTTTTGAGACGGAGTTTTACTCTCGTTGCCCTGGTTGCAGTGCAATGGCACGATCTCGGCTCACTGCAACCTCCACCTCCTTGGTTCAAGCCATTCTCCTGTCTCAGTCTCCTGAGTAACTGGGATTACAGGCATCTGCCACCACACCTGGCTAATTTTATATTTTTTTTTTTACTAGAGATGGGGTTTCTCCATGTTGGTCAGGCTGATCTCGAACTCCCAACTTCAGGTGATCTGCCCACCTTGGCCTCCCAAAGTGCCCGGATTACAAGCCTGAGCCGCTGCGCTCGGCCTCCCCCTGCTTTTTTTGCACTTTCAGTTGAGATGTAGTTTCTAATTCTCTTACAGACTGTTTGCTTTGTGAGGTCTAATGTTATTTTGCAGTCTCTTGGTAAATGATGCCTAGTTGGTGTTTCATTTTCATTTAATTTTTACAGTCTGTTCTGTATTTAAGGAATTCAGGAAAGAGACAAGCATATATTAGCATTTTAAGCAGGGAAAGTAAGTTTGAGTCAGCCTAGCTGAACTTCCTTTGCCAAAGAAAGAAGAAAACTTTTCTGGCAGCCCTGTTCATGCACAGCTTAGGACCCATCATGAGTCTGACAGGTGAGTGCCAGAAACCAACAGTCGTCCCAATTTGTGAGGTTATCTGAAGTAAGGCAGCTGGTGGCTGGATTATTAACTGCATATGCCTCTGGGCCTGTGACCTTGAAGTGTTGTTGCTCCAAGCAACTCATCTATAGAAATTATCACCCATGCGCCCTGTCAAGCCCTTTGAGAAGTGAGATAAGCAGAAATTGCAGGTAATGGTAGAGGCTCAGAACATCCAGATACTATTATAAAAACATGCCAAAGCAAAGCAGAGGCTTTTTCATTGCAGATAAGGCTATGTTTTTGCTCAGATACCAATTGTGTAGATGCCTAGGACATAAATGGTGGGGATCGCTATTGAAACTAAATTAGTTACTGTAAGTAGGACTCAGTTCTGTAACACGTCTAATATGTTTTGATACAGATGCATCCAAGAAGTCAGATTCAAACCCACTGACTGAGATACTTAAGTGTCCTACTAAAGTGGTCCTCCTAAGGGTAAGAAGCTGAGGAAAGCGAGCTGTCCACCTGCCTAGATTTGTGTGTGTCACCCCAACCTACCCTGCTCCCCTTAAAAGTTAAGGAAAACTGAAAATGATACTTTTGCAAGTAATACCTTTGGGCAGATCCTGTGTAAGGCTGATTTTAGATTTCATTTTCACTAATGTGTAAGTTTCTTTGCTAAGTACAGTGTTTAAGACTAAAGTAATTACTTTAAAATTTTTGAAATTGCAAGAGCCTTAGTTTATACATTTTGGTGCTTGGATAGATGCTCTTGTAACTCTACAGACTTAATGTATGTTTTAGTGTTTTAAGAAATACTAACTTTTGGGTACTTTGGGTATAAAATTTTTCATTGTGTCATTTGGGATTGAGAACATTTACCATCACAAAAGTAAGTCATGTTTATATACTTCTGCTAGGTGTTTGTAAGTTATACTTGGTACTTGATTTTATTTATTTTTGTGTTTAAAGAACATGGTTGGTGCGGGAGAGGTGGATGAAGACTTGGAAGTTGAAACCAAGGAAGAATGTGAAAAATATGGCAAAGTTGGAAAATGTGTGATATTTGAAGTAAGAACGTTTTCCTTTGATGTTTATAACCCAAGTTGTAATTGGCAGGTTACAAAACATTTTCTACAAACAGGACAGGTTATGCTATAAGTAACATATTCTTACTGCAGAAGGTGACAGACATAGGTTATTTGTACTTCTCTTACTCAATTATTACAGTTTTAAACATAAAGACAAGAATCACTTCAAGTTTTATTTGGCGAAGAAATAGGAATGTTTCATGATGGAGGATCGGTTTAGTGACTGAAGACCTTGATTCTAGTATGCTCAGTAGTTCAGTTACTTAGACGTGCCTTTGCTTTCAGTCATTGGTGAGTACTTAGTGCCTCTCACATGTACTGCACTATGCAGAGAGCACTTGGGATACAGGAAGCATGCCCTGTACTCTCGGTGTGTTCAGTTGAAGAAATACAAACACATGTAAAGTAACTAGAGGATATCCTGTTACTAGACGAGGTAGTATTGACTGTAGTTTCAGGAGTTGAGAAAAGGATTAGATCAGTGAAAAAATAGAGACTGTCTTGTGAGCAATAACTGATGTGGGCTGCGCTTTGAAATGAATAGGTGGCATTTGCAGGGAAGGGTATTCTGATTGGCTCCTGGGAGATAGTGAGGGTCAGGACTACCAAAATGGAATGAATGGGCCCATTGGGTATTAGCAGAATGTGGGTGGAATGGACCACATTGCAGAGGGCTAGGAAAGCTTAGACCAAGCTAGTCAAAATGAGACCTGATGTAAAAGGCCACTGCAGCACCAACCTTTTTAAGCTAAAAGCTCTGTCCTCTCTCTTTCTTTATGTTATTGCTATTTGTTGGCCTCATAATTGTTTGTTTACATCATCAGCTGGCACAGGGCCTTCATGAGGTCAGAGATTGCTTAGCTCCGTGATCCCGGCACCTAATACCTGTTACAAAAACAGGTGTTCAGTACATTTTTGATGATGAACAAAGTATACTTATTTCTTGGTGTTTGACAGCTGCTTGACCGTACATGGTGATAATTAGAATATTCACTCTGACAAATCATTTAAAAGAGAAAACTCATTTTCAGTGCAATCTCAAGTCCCTTTACTCATCACGCTCTTGTTTTCATCCAGATTCCTGGTGCCCCTGATGATGAAGCAGTACGGATATTTTTAGAATTTGAGAGAGTTGAATCAGCAATTAAAGGTTAGTTAGCTAAATATTAAAGAATAAAAAAGTTGATTTACAACCTTAATCTTTACAAGTAAAGTTACTGTTTAATTAAAGTTAAACCTTTATCATGTTTTATACCTATATTAACAGTCTTTTGTTTGTCTTTCAGCGGTTGTTGACTTGAATGGGAGGTATTTTGGTGGACGGGTGGTAAAAGCATGTTTCTACAATTTGGACAAATTCAGGGTCTTGGATTTGGCAGAGCAAGTTTGATTTTAAGAACTAGAGCACGAGTCATCGCCAGTGATCCTTAAATGAACTGCAGCTGAGAAAAGAAGGAAAAAGGTCACAGCCTGCATGGCTGTTGCATACCAAGACTCTTGGAAGGACTTCTAAGATATATGTTGATTGATCCCTTTTTTATTTTGTGGTTTTTTAATATAGTATAAAAATCCTTTTAAAAAAAAAAACAATCTGTGTGCCTCTCTGGTTGTTTCTCTTTTTTATTACTACTCCTGAGTTGATGACATTTTTTGCTAGATTTCATGGTAATTCTCAAGTGCTTCAATGATACAGCATTTCTTGCACTAAAAAAAGAAATCTAGAAAGTTTTAGGACATGGGGTTATATTAAGTTATTCTTTGTTTTTCTTTTAATAAAGCCTGCAAGTTACTAAATCGTAGTTTCATAAATTCTGTAATAAAGTATCATCTTGGCACTGTGCCAAAGGTGAAAATGATGCTTTCTCTAACAGAGAAATACTTCTTAGTGACTCCAGTCGTAGAAAAACGTCTTACAACCTGAATAAGATTGAAGAATTGTGAATATACCATGGCCTATTGGATGAATCATTTGCCATTAAGCTAAGTCAGACTGTAGGGTTTGTGATGGATTTATGGAGTATGTGGGGTATAGAAATCATAAATATAGCATTTGTTTTCAGAGATTCAAGCATAGTCTTTAGGGTAGATCAGAAATGGCAAGTAATTCAAAACCTAGCAGGTGCATTGTAAATATGTGCCCAATTATGTTTTGGAAATGACAGTTCCTTGGGGTCTTGTTTTTGCTGGCACAATTTGCAATAGTGTTCTATTGTATTTAATTCCAAAATTTATAAAATTCATCCACATTGGCCACATAAACTATACTGCCAATTAATAGAATTCTGGAATTGTGAGAAATTGTATCATTGAAGTTCAGTAGGATGTGTGGCCTCAAAATTTATCAGGACCACAAAAAAGAAAACAAATATTTGGTACTGAGGTTCATTGCCAGGGCAGGAGGTATTTCCAGAAAATACTCATGCCTGTGTTCTGTTCCTTGCTTTCCCAAATACTGCATGTGACTCTCCTGAAGTGGCAGCTGAAGGACTCGAGCCCATGTTGTCTCCTTTGGTTATTATGACATGAAAGTGTATCAAGAACTCAGCATTTCTTTGCATCCATGGACTTGGTTTGGAGACATAAGGAATATTCTGACCCTTTTTAAAAAAGGATTTTCTCATGTTTTTATTTAACATAAATAAAAGAATAACATTTTATCTTTTGTGGTATTTTATTGAATAAGATTGAGTTTTGTGGTAAAAGCGCACCTGTTCTATAAAGTGAGTTGGGGTGAAGGAGTGCGAGGTAAATTACATAATTGAACATCGCAGAGGACGGTAAGAGTCAAAGGCAGCCCTGAAACGAGTTATGTATGGAATGAGGCATGCCATTCCTCGTATGGACACCATGTGTGAGCTTACAAGTACCCAAATGTGCCATGCTGACTGTAACGATGACTGGTTTAATTTTAGAAACTCTAGGCCGGGCGCGGTGGCTCACGCTTGTAATCCCAGCACTTTGGGAGGCCGAGGCGGGTGGATCACGAGGTCAAGAGATCGAGACCATCCTGGTCAACATGGTGAAACCCCGTCTCTACTAAAAATACAAAACATTAGCTGGGCATGGTGGTGCGTGCCTGTAATCCCAGCTACTCAGGAGGCTGAGGCAGGAGAATTGCTTGAACTCAGGAGGCGGAGGTTGCGGTGAGCCGAGATCGCGCCATTGCACTCCAGCCTGGGTAACGAGCGAAACTCCGTCTCAAAAAAAAAAAAAAAAAAGAAACTCTAATGTGCTTAAGTTAGAACTCTAATGGCTCCAACCCACCTTTTGTGCTTGCATTTATTGTTGATATGCTTTGTAATAACATTGTTTATTTGCATTTAGGTGGCTTTTCCTGACATTCTCATGGTCAGCAACCAGAGAATTGCAAGCAACTCATACTACTTGATTTCTGTTCACGTGGGCACAATTTAGTGAGTGTCTTTCTCTCCAGTCCCTTATTTTTAAAATTATCCATAACTGTATTAATGACTTAGTGCTTTGTTTTTAATGAGTTTCTGACAGTGGAATAATTTCTAAATCTGCAAGTTAGCAGTTGAGAACTATGAAATTAATTTTCAATATTAACTAACATTCAAGTTAATATAAAAATTTTAGATTTCAGTAACAATTAAAAATTACGTAAGCTGCAGTATAACTGGCAAGGTTCCGTGCAATAGATGTTTGTCATTCTTGGTGCCCATCTGTGATCTTTTGAAACCCTTGCTGTGTTTGGGGAATTTCCGCATTATTCTTGCTGCCACGAGAGACTAGAACTTGCCTTCCTAGCCTGTCTTGCAGGTTGAGCAAGGGTGTGTGCTTGGGATCTCTGATTAGACCAGCACTGCAGCTTGGGAGAGCTGTGTGAGGGGTCCATCCTCAAGCTTAGGCAAGGATTACTCTGCAGTGTTGTGTGGCAATGGGGACAACAGTGGCAGAGACCTTGTCACCCCTGCTGGTGTGTGGTGTCTGGCAGGGCAGACACCTGTGGAGGGGTTTGGGAGTTCTGCTTTACATAAAACCTGTGGTCTGCCCTGGGCCTGCTTGGAGATTATTGTTTTTCCTTTTTGTTTGTTTGTTTTTTTGTTTTTGTTTTTCAGATGGTGTCCGTTGCTTAGGCTGGAGTCAGTGGAGCAATCTCAGCTCACTGCAATGTCCACCTCCCAGGTTCAAGCAGTTCTCATGCCTCAGCCCCCAAAAAGCTGGGATTACAAGCATATGTCACCTGGCTGATTTTTGTATCAGTGGAAAAGGAGTTTCACCATGGTGGACAGGCTGGTCATGAACTCCTGGGCCCAAACATTCTTCCTGCCACAGTGCTGGGAGTATAGGCGTGAGCCACTGCACCCAATTCTTTTTTTTGGTAGATTTCTTTCTGCTTAAGCTAGAGTGAGTGCTTTCATCTTCACCTAAGACCCCCAACTGATAACAGGTTGATAGCTGGGATTGCACATGACGAATCCTGAAAGATGGAGGCGGTAGGATGGGATTGTTGAGGACCCAGTTTCCCTGGGCTGAAAAACTGCTGAACTTCGTTATTTGGTGGTGAGGCATTTAGCCAAGCTGCTGCTGTTCCTTGGACTACAGGCAGGTGTTAGGGGAAATAATAGGAAAATGAGAATGTTTGTGCATACTGGTGTTTTAGGTGGCTGTAGTGCCGAACCCAGAGTGGGGGTTCAGACCCTGGTTCTGCCACTCACAGCTGTGTGGTCCATTGCCTCATCAGAAGGTGGAAGCAATCATGCTGCCTGCTCAGCATTGTTAAGAGGACTGGGTAAATCGTGTACTATTTCTGTCCACTTGGGCTGCTGTGACATGATACCATAGCCTGGGCTCTTGTGAACACAGGTCCACTTTCCACAACCTGGAGGCTGAAGGTTCAAAATCAAGGCACTGGTGGACTGTGGCTGGCTGGGCCCCCTTTCTGTTTCATAGATGGCATCTTCTTGCATCCTCATGGATGGGGTGGAAAGGGTGAGAGATTTCTGGGGGCCTCTATGAGAAGTGCACAAATCCTATTCACGAGGGCTCCACCCTCCACCTCATCACCCCCCAAAAGGCTCCACCTCCTAACACTGTTGCCTTGGGGGTGAGGATTTCAACATGAGTTTTGGGGAGACATAAACATTCAGACCATAGCATACTGAGTAAACAAGGGGCAAAGCCCTGCAGAGGAGTGAGAAACTTGGACTCAAGGAAGCTGGTTTGAAAGTGGAGTGAAGAGAAAGACAGCCTTGCCGAGAGCAGCTTTCTGTGCTTGTACCCTGCAGCCACAGTTGAATGAGAGTCCTGGTTTGGAAAAACTTACCTTGGCTAAAATGAAACCAAAGGCCCAGCAGTGGCCTCAGCAGGGTTTGGACTGGATATTGTGGTCTTACAAAAATGGAGTGAAAGGTGTTGCTTCTCCCTCAATTGATGACACTGAACGCCCTCAAGACACCAACCATTAAGGTGAGGGGAAAGGGCCAAGGCAGAAGCTAAAACCAGCTGCTACAGAACAAATTCCCAGGCTAAGGACAGCTAGGTTAGACCTTTGCCGACTTGTACATGGAGTGTGCAGATTGCCCTGTCTTAGCTGTAGGTGCTGGGCCACACAGGGCCACAGTCGGACCTGTTAGAGAAAATGACACTCCTTGCAAGTTTGGACTGAAGAGATGGCACCGTCTTCCTTAGGTTGGGTTCAGTACTATTAAGTGTAAGTGTGGGAGAACAGCGCATATTCTGGCAGGAACCAGAGGGAGCCAGTGACAGACACAGTACGACGCTACACCAATTCCCTTTCCAAACTCCTCCCTATCTTACCCCTCCCCCCCCTTTTTTTTTTCCGAGATTGAGTCTCACTCTGTTGCCCAGGCTAGGGTGCAGTGGCACGATCTTGGCTCACTGCAACCTCTGCCTCCCCTGTTCAAGCAATTCTCATGCCTCGGCCTCCTGAGTAGCTGGGTCTAGAGGCGCCCACAAACCACACCTGGTTGATTTTTGTATTTTTAGTAGAGATGTGGTTTCACCGTGTTGGCCAGGCTGGTCTTGAACTCCTGACCTCAAGTGAACCACCCACCTTGACCTCCCAAAGTGCTGGGATTACAGGTGTGTACCACCTCACCCGGCCTATGCTTCTATTTTAAAAGCCAGAAAGGTTAAATTCTTACCTGAAACCAGGGCCAGCCAGCGTGCAAGTAAGTGGCAATGTGTAGCCAGTTCTAGAAATCCTTTCTGTTTCCTGATTAAAGGGTCAGATGTAGCTGGTACCACCCTGCCCTAAACGTGGATGCGATGCCAGTGCTGTGGCCACCATGGGGGGAACTTTGGGGATAAGCCGGCATTTGAGAGTGGAGGAGAGGATGGGTATGGTCTCGCCAGTGAGATGCCACAACAGCCAGGGTGGGATATGGGCTAGGCCACTCTGAGGTGGCCTCTCCCTGGAAACTGAATTCATCCCTCGCAGATACAGTCTGTCTGCTGTCCAGAGTGTATGCAGTATAGTCAAAAGCTGGGAGGAAAGTTATTTCAGATCATTAAAGTCACCTGCCAGTATAAAATCTCCAGACTGTATCTTCTCTTCATTTACCTTTCCTATAAGCAGTCCCAACCTAAACTGAAAGGGAATCCCATTCATTTTGTTTCAACAAGCATTTTGTTTGTGGCTACATACAGATATTGTTCTTAGCAGTGGGAATAAAAAATGAGTAAGATGGTGATTCTTGCTTTCAAAGAGTTCCTAGTCCATTTCAGAGAGAGACAAGAGCAGAAACAGGGCAGGGTGAGAGGCGCCAAGTACGATGTGTCATCACACTGAGCTGTTTGGGGGAAGAGAGTGTTTTTATCACTGGTTCTCAGTACCTCCCTGAATTTGCTGAGTGAGTGTACAGGGTACTGAGAGCAGGGATGACTGAGCAGATCTTTGAGAAGTGTAGAGTCTGAGTCAGCAATAACGTAAGAGGTAACTCGTGCTGAATCTTGCCGGATGACCAGAAAGGTGAGAGAGGTGGGCCCTCCAGAGAAACAGCAGTGACGGCACCCCTCTCTGTCTCTTGTTTCTGCCTTGCTAATACATCTAGCCCAAGGTTAGCCCTATTAGTCTAACCTTGGGCGGGTCTGATTTGGTCCCCAGCTCTATTAATTACTCCTCTTCCATATATAAATATGTATATTTAGAGACAGGGTCTTCTTGCTTTTTTGCCCAGGCTGGAATGCAGTGGCAGGATTATAGCTCACCACAGCCTCGAAGGCCAGGACTCAAGCGATCCTCCCACCTCAGCCACCCAAGTAGCTGTGAGCCAAGACCACAGGCATGCACCACCATGCCTGGCGAATTTTTTTGTAGAGATGGGATGTTGCTATATTGCCCAGACTGGTTTTGAACTCTTGGCCCCAAGTAATCCTTCTTCCTTGGCCTCCCAAAGTGCTGGGATTATAGGCAGGAGCCATACCCGGCCGCTTTCCCTTGTTTATAAAATAAACTTTTTTTGTATATTATAAAAATATCGGCCGGGCGCGGTGGCTCACGCCTGTAATCCCAGTACTTTGGGAGGCCGAAGCGGGTGGATCACGAGGTCAAGAGATCGAGACCATCCTGGTCAACATGGTGAAACCCCGTCTCTACTAAAATACAAAAAATCAGCTGGGCATGGTGGCACATGCCTGTAATCCCAGCTACTCAGGAGGCTGAGGCAGGAGA